ATATGGATGATTTAGACATGCTAGATGAAGCCTGTTTTGTCCCGGATTATGATGACACTGATTTGGTGGAAGATCCTACTGTCCTAATTGGTGAAGAGGGGGAGGAAGTTACCCACCCAAAGTGCAGAAAGAAGAAACAAAGGAAAGAAGTTCAGTGTGGTTTGTGTCTGGTGTCCTGTGCTGACCTGAGTAGACATCTTGGACGTCATGTGAAATCTGTTCATTTGCCATGGTATATGACTCCAGGATTGGTGTGCTGGTATTGCAGATCAATGGAGAAAGACAATTCGCTTTTGCGTAAACGTCATGGTGATGTTCATTCCTGTGGAACTGGTTAATTCAAGGAAAAACTGTGGATCCAATTGGTGAATGGATTTATACATTTTCTGATATTGACACTAAATATGAGAAATATATGGGAACTGATGGATTATGTGAAAAGTGAAGGACTATCAATATTACCAGAAAACTGTTCCGAGGAGGACATTAACTTTGTAAAAATATACATTTATGGAAATGGTATGGAGCCTAAGACTGAGATTCTGAATTCTTTGTTGACTTTGTTTCACTGGAGAACTTTGTATCATCTGTTACAAAAACTTTCATCAGAGGATCGTGAACTCAGTAGTCATTGGTATCGGCGGATGAAATTTACTTTGCTACATGGATGAAAAATGAACTATATAATGATTTGACATTTCACATTGACATTGTTATCATTACTAATAATGTTTTGAGCAACTTTGAGTTAAAATCACTTTGTTTGCTTTTAAAGTTTATTTAAAGTGATAATGGATTTAAAACTTTGTTTTGCATTCCTAAGGATGAACATTTATGCTGAGAGATGGACTTAATTGACTTTGCTTGTGTTAAAGTTAAATGTTGAATCTTGGCATAACAATAATGACTTATTTGCTTTACTTGCTTATTTTAAATGTAAAGTACAATTTCAGTTGTTGAATTGTAGTAATTGTTAGTTTAACAATTTAAAGTAATGGTTTATATTGTAATAATAGGGGGGAGTTTTGTTCGTCAAAAGGGGGGAGAGTGTGACGATGTAGTGCGTTAGTTGAGATTGTTTTACATTGCTACCGGTAGATGTCTCTGTAAGTAAAGTGTTGTCTGGTGTACAAGTTTGAATCTCTCCCGTGATTGGTAACTTAAAGGTAAAACTGTTCACTGTATAGTTGGTTCTGATTGGTAAATGTGTACTATCTGAACTTGTATATAAGGTGTGACTTGAAATAAATCGGCCTCTTCTTTGGGGTCTCTTACGGCTTCTTTTAGTGCGTCTTGGTCTTCCTTGGCTTTAACGGTTCTTAGGATTAGTGAATTACACCAGTAAGTACATTGTTATTTGTACCTTCATAAGGCACTCGGCCGCGAAGGCGTAACAGAGTACAAACCCTGCATGAGGATCAAAATTTTATTTCGAGAACTTTTTTTTCGCAAAAGAGGGAAGAAAAGGTTAATTGGCAGGTTTTTCATTTGAAAACCATTGACAGAACCATTTCATGGCAATTAATCAACCTTTTGCGGAAAAAAAAGTTCTCGAAATAAAAATTTGATCCTCATGAAGAAATTTGACCCTGTTCAGTCATGCGTAAAAAGACACGACAATCCATGGGGTGCATTGAAGCATAATTTCCCTACGAACCTATATTTACATTTGTTATATGAAATAAATTTTTTTAATTCTGGATATTTTTCTAAGTGTTCACTTTTTTTGATATACCCTATAATAGATAGGATTTATACAGAAAATTTAAGAACAAAGTCAAGGAATCAATAAGACTTCTGATACTTTAAATCGATTACTAATAGTACTTTTAACTGAGATCCACACAGGGCACTTTTCAAAGTGTTTTGTCACATTAACCAAATGGACTTAATTACATTAATTCCCCACAGCTCTCTCTATCTCACTATATTACATAACACAAAGCTGGGTGGGAGGGTGGCAGTTAACCCCTCCCTCAATTCTTTACACAAAGAATTGAAATCAAACTTCGACTTAACCAAGGTAAGTCTCTTTAATTATTTTTAAAAGTTTTCAGTTTTCAGCATGTCTGTCATTGCAGTCAGAAACGGAGACAAAAGGATAGCCATGAGGACGTGGAAGTCCCTGCGAAGCTGGCAAAGCTATCAGCTATGGAAGAGATCTTCATAGATGAAGATGAGGATGTCGAGGTCAATCGCGTGGAACTACCCTTGCCAATTAGAATTAGGGCACAGCAGGAAGTACACACTTATAAAAACCTTCCCAAACTCTGCTCCACCGATGACATTGTGGCCTTCTGGAGGTGGCCTGTTGAGTGGCCTGGCCAAGCGTTACCTAGTTGTGTCTGGAACCAGTGTTCCTTGTGAGAGGGTATTCATCACAGCTGGAGATATAGTGTCTGCCTTGAGCCAGAGAATGTGAATGTCCCGTTTCTCAACAAGAACACTTAGAAGTTAGACCATTTTGTCATGGAAATATGGCCTACATAACTTTACAACTGTAGATATGGCATTAGGCCTCATAGTGCACGTGTTTTTTAAATATCTAAATTAACTGAGTACTCTAGTCACTTCCCTCAATGGGACAACTTCTTAGGTACTTTGAAAGTTTGAACTACATGTTGTCTGTATGCTGTAGTCTGTTAGACTGTTACAGACAGTAGTACTCTAGTCTAGTGTAGTCACTACTAGTCACTGTTCTCCATGTGAGACAACTTATGACTTTTTGTCCCAAGTTCAGTAAGTGTGAGTCTGTGAGATTAAGTCACTAGGAGGATGACTGAGAAGTGAGGTAGGAAGCTCGGGATCGGGCCTTCGGTCCTCCATGGGGCGCCTGAACACTGGTTCAGGTACAGGTACAGGTCAGGACCTGTACCTAAACCTCTGTACCGGTACCTGTACCTGATGTTACGTTTAGGTACGCAGCCCTAATTTTGACACCCATGTGATACTTCCATCTTGGTGGCACCATGCATTAATGACATAACGCAATCACAACCGGTTGCAATCTTAACACGACAGATTTGTAGTTGTTTTTCAGTATTATTAGACTTTGAGTATTTTCCAACCTGTACTATTATTCCAAACCCTACAGCAATTCATAACCTGAGAGAACTTATTAATGCAGCATTAATTGAAAGTGCATGTAGATAATTGTTAGGTTTAGGTTATTATATAAGTGTAGTAAGGTTGTATCCTGTGATCTTATTTAAAACAGAATTGCAGTTCAGGTAGGCATCAACTCAACCCCCAAATCGTAACACTTTTAACAGAGAGGAAGACAACAAAAGGTCACGTCAGCTTTACAAATCTCAGAGGGATAAACGGACAGTTGTTGATGGTTGGAAGAAGTTCAGCTGGTTAGTGGTCAATGACATCCAACAAACCCTATTCTGCAAGATGTGTAGATCTGTTTATGCCCCCCTTTCACAAAGGAAAATGCCTGACAGGTTGAGAAAGTACAGTAAAGGGCCTTTTGTCATTGGCTCATCCAGCCTAAGATCCCAGGACACCAGGACTCCAAAGCCTATGTTGACAGCATAAACACACCAGTAGATACACCAGCCAACAAGGCACTGCAGTCATTACATAAATCTGCCTTCAACAAGTTGTGCCCCTTATTCGGAAATGTACATGCAATTGGTACAGAGGAGGAGTATGGAGAGAGAGAAGTACTCCTACAGGATGTGGCTTAGTTGAAGATAACATCTGAGGAATAGCGTGAAAAAGAAAATGATAATAAGAAGGCCGTAGCCTTAGAAAGCCAAAAAAAAAAGCCAAACTGTTGAGGGATGCAGCCATGAACAGCTTAAAATGTATATATAAGTTTTGTGGACCTCTTTAAGATTTATGTTTGTAAATAAGAATATATAAATAGAAAATGGACATTGAAAATTGTGGGGGGTGATGCATAATGACAATGAGCAGAAGACGTATTGAAAATACTTAATAAATTACTTATATAAGAAATTTTGTGAGAGAACGTCTAGAGATTGGAGAAAAATATGCAAAAATTATCCTATCCAGCACTCTTTGTAATTCTCTCAGATGTTATGTAACAGACATAGTTTGAACAATTAAAATAAAGAATGTAACAAGAACTGTACTGTGCCTTTTTATTAAAATGCCAGAAAACTCAACTTGAATAGCAACTGCCATACAGTTACTTTTCCATTTTTACTTTGCAAAAATCTATATGTTTAAGATAAAAGATATTTCCAGAAAGAGGAGTCTGGATTGGGAAAAATGAAATACCACAAAGAAGATATAAATGGACTTATGAAATGAAGACTGCAATGCAAAAAGGGCTCAGCTCTATGGGCCCTGGGGCCTAAATACAACACCCAAATATTTGATGAAGATTCTGCATAAATCCAGATGACTTTATTCTCTCTAAGAAAGGTCTAACAGGTCCCCATTTTTGTAAGCAAATGGTTTCCATGGTCTCATGTGTAGTGCCAATGTGGCCATTCAAACAAGTAGTGGTCACTTGGCTTGCTAGGTTATCCAACTTGGCCTTGCTTTATAGTCATTAACACATGTAATAACAAGAGAACCCATTACTTTTTTTCAAGAGCCATTCAAATTATAAAATCCATATTTTCCAAATAAATGGTAGAGTGAATAGGGTATTAGAGTTCACTAAAATTATCCTTAAATACCTCCCACTTCCTATTCATGGGGGAAATGGGTGACTTTTTTTTTTTTTGGGGTTTGTTTTTCTTTTTTATCCAGACATATCCAGACTCACACTTTTCATATACAAGTAATTATCAAACTTAGTAAAACTATAAATTATCCACAGCTTCTTAAATGCTTATAAGGCTGTAGGAAGGGTAGGTCATTTGATCTGAAAGAATTATACTGTACACAATCTTTTCCCAGCAACTTTCTACCGCCAATATATCTTAGCAATCTTTTGGCATAATTAACATCAACTCTGGCCGTTTCTATGCATTCTTCCAACAGCTTCATATATGCTATGCTTAAGTGCTAGGTACCTCTTATCCTGAGCAGGGGGACTGGTCATCATTTTCCTGGTCAGGTATGCCCACCCAAGGTGATAGTAAGGGTCAGCAAAACCACCCTGGCCCCCAGAACCAGAGTGGCCAAAAATTGTCCGACCCTACAATGTGAAATTAAAAGATACAGTAATTACTCAAATTAGAACATTCCTACTGAATGGTGGGAACAAAATTTAAAATCAGGCTACTCTATACTTCTCCATTATATGTAGTAAAAGCACCACAAATGCCATACAGAAAAATGATTTCTGTGATTACAAAATTAAATGTCAGAAAGTTTGACAATTTATGCCCATTGCAAAGATTGAAGCACTATCATATTCACTGTTAAGGTATCCGAGCTATAATTCTTTTAATATTTATCTGTTAATTAAATCTTTATCTTTCTTCAAACATGGACTTGTCTTCTCTAGGCATAACACTGGCCCAGTTTGCATCATCAAAACTTTCTGTACTTCTGCTACTTAAGACTACAAACAATTACCAGAATAAAGAGGACCTGCCTCCCTATTCTCTGATCATCTGAATGATGTTCATCTGGAGTAATTTTCTTTTTTTTTTACATTCATTTTCTAAATGCCCTTGACAAAGATAATTACAATTCATCATTTTCTCACCTCAAATTCTTCAGTGGCAAAACCAAGACTGAAATTAGTCTCAAACATAAACACTTTTTCCAACCCTGAGGTAAGTGGAACAAGTAAGCGATCTATCATTTCTTTGCTGAGAAGCTGTTTGCCTGTTTCTCTATCAAATCCACCATTGGACAAAATCCCAAATACTTTTGCAACACCTTTTGCCGTCCCTATACCATTAGCTGCTGGAACTTCAAGGCTATAATGTTCTGGTTTATGAAGATCCATCTAAAACAGAAAAGAAATTTTTTTAAAATCTATCCACTATATAGAAATAACATAACTGTATGATTATCCTTCAGTTTTTCCTTTTAAAAAACAGGAACTCAGGGGCGGATCCAGAGCTATTTTCTGACAGTCTTCCGAATTATCTTTGTTGATCTATCCTCCATTTTTGACTGTCTTCCGACAGAAAAAATTAGATACCCGTTAATGTAAACTTGAAAATCTGACCGTCTTCCAGAAGACCCAGAAGACCCCCTAAATCTGCCCCTGGAACTGTCAACTATAATTTCCATTTACACTAACTTACCATATCCCACTGCTCAAACTTCCTATGCAAGATTTAAACAAGGCAGAAAAGCTGTCAAATGTACAGACAAAAAACAGAAAATAAAGATGCAAAAAAGGTCATTTTGTCAATTTTGATGCAATAATAAATAATGCTTATAATAGCACTGTCAGTCAACACTGAATTTTAATCTTGCACAACAGGTAACATGGTCAATAACAGGAGCAGACCCAGAGATATTTTCTGACAGTATTACAAAGTATCTATGTTGATCCATCCTCCATTTTGATGGTCTTCNGACCCCCTAAATCTGCCCCTGGAACTGTCAACTATAATTTCCATTTACACTAACTTACCATATCCCACTGCTCAAACTTCCTATGCAAGATTTAAAAAAAAAACAGCTTGTACAATACCTTTCCAGCAATTCCTAGGTTTTTCAAAGATTTCCATAGTAGGCTATTCCCCCCTTGGCCCATTGCCTTGAGCATTGGCCTAAACCTTTGGTCCCTCATGAGTGTTGTTAGACCATCTAACATATTCTCCCTTTCTAGAGAAGCTACACAACTGTTTAGATGTTCTGGTAAACCAATGTAGAAATCAATTCCTATGAAAAAAAAATGAAATGATGACTGCTATTAGCATCTGAACAATTATTAGTCTGTTCATTACTTGACTTCAGTCCAAACAATATATGCATGCCATGATGTCATCATTCTCTTCTATCTGTTTTCTCTACATTTGTTTGAGAAAAATAACCTGATTGAAAGTTCTTCATTAATGTGCATCCATTTACAATTCAACTCACCAAAAGGTTTTGCCACTTCATCCTGAAAAAACTGCCCAACACTTCTATGATTTGGATCCACTCTTCTGACCAACTGGTCAACTAACCAGCCAAATGTGAGAGCATGGTAGCCATGACAACTCCCTGATAATATAACCCTGTTTTGTATCATCCAGTTTTGCATGAACTTCATTCAATTTCACATAACTCACTAGAATATTTAAGCATGCTTATCACCTACCAGGTTGACTAGAACTATTACAGAAAAAATAAAATGTGTATACAGTGCATGGCTCATGCTGCGTTTCATACCAATATTTTCAAAGAATAAAATCATATTTTCTAAATATTTGTGTCACAACATGCTGCTTCAATAATAATGATTATTGGGATGAGACTGTAGTTTAGTGAAAAATATGGTGTGGGTCAAGGGGGGCCACCTAGGCCAATTATATTTTTGGCCTCTAAAAAAGTCAGATATCCCCTACTAGTTGAAAAAATCTCACCTCTGTAATAATTAATTATTTTTTTTCGTTATTATTATCTTTTTAGATATAAACTAGTCTCCACACAACTTTCCTAAAAAATTCCACTAAATCAGAAAACCAACTGTGAACTACCTGGTACCCATGATGGCTTTAGGGTAGAAATAATTTCTCCCAATTTCACATGGTCCTCCAAAATTTCCAGACTCAGCAAAGTGGGAATTTCTATTAGCCCTGCCTATTAAAAAAATGGTATAGGTTACTCCACAAATACCTAATAATTATTTACACAGTCATATGGTAAAATGTACACAAACGTAGGGTGCATTCCCAGTGAAATTACAGACATGCTGAAAACCTTTCAGAATGGCTGGACACTTGGACCGGCAGTAATGAAAAATTTGCCGGACCAAATGGATTTTTGTCGGACCGAAAATCACTCTATTAGTTTGAGACAGATACAACCAGTACAATTAGGGAAGCTTACTTTGTTTGTGAATGTGATAGGTTTGAAATGGAAGGGAAAAAACGCTTTGGGTTTTATATAATTTTATTAGTGACGTATGTCGAATGATGACTGTAAATTCAAAATTGTGGCTCTTAAATCTCTTGTCGGTCCTTTGGACCGACCAAGTCCAATTTTTAACCAGTCCAGACAAATTTTCCCAGTTATGACCGATCGACAGTTTCAGCATGTCTGAAATTATTGTTCTATGTAGATCAATCCAAATCCATGGGTTTTCTCATTAAATGCAATCAGATTAACTGAATGACACCTCCTCAAGCAGCACAACGGTGATTAACTTTCATATGCATTTAGTCACACTTAGGCTTCGTTCACATGCAATGTCTATTTTCTAAATTCTATTTTCTATTCGCGGTATGTCTTATGATCAAGGTCTGTGCCCTGAATATCCCGCGGCGTAATTACTGGCAGCGCGAGCCAGTTACTATAAGCTACTATAAGTAACTGGCTCGCGCTGCCAGTAATTACGCGGCGGGATATTCAGGACACAGATCGTGATTATAAGATAGCGCGAATAGAAAATAGAATTTAGAAAATAGACATTGCATGTGAACGAAGCCTTAAAATAAAGTGATGAAGCTGCCATGAGTTAAACGCACACTAAAGTTAATCACTACTTGCTCAAGGATAGATTTCATTCTGTTTATCTGATTGCATTTAGTGATAGTCCCAGCAGAGTTGGTTCTATTTACTTTTAAGTAAAGAATGTTTTAAAAAACAACAATGAATGAAATAGTTTACAGGTATAATTGGTTCTCGGTTTGGTTAGGAAAATTAATTTCTTGTCAATATTTAAAGCCATATTTAAGATTTGACACTACTTGAACCACAAACTCACCTGATGACTGACCAGCTGCTCCACTGTGATTGTTTCCTTTCCATTCTGTCCAAACTNTGTACATAAAAATGGTATAGGTTACTCCACAAATACCTAATAATTATTTACACAGTCATATGGTAAAATGTACACAAACGTAGGGTGCATTCCCAGTGAAATTACAGACATGCTGAAAACCTTTCAGAATGGCTGGACACTTGGACCAGCAGTAATGAAAAATTTGCCGGACCAAATGGATTTTTGTCGGACCGAAAATCACTCTATTAGTTTGAGACAGATACAACCAGTACAATTAGGGAAGCTTACTTTGTTTGTGAATGTGATAGGTTTGAAATGTAAGGGAAAAAACGCTTTGGGTTTTATATAATTTTATTAGTGACGTATGTCGAATGATGACTGTAAATTCAAAATTGTGGCTCTTAAATCTCTTGTCGGTCCTTTGGACCGACCAAGTCCAATTTTTAACCAGTCCAGACAAATTTTCCCAGTTATGACCGATCGACAGTTTCAGCATGTCTGAAATTATTGTTCTATGTAGATCAATCCAAATCCATGGGTTTTCTCATTAAATGCAATCAGATTAACTGAATGACACCTCCTCAAGCAGCACAATGGTGATTAACTTTCATATGCATTTAGTCACACTTAAAATAAAGTGATGAAGCTGCCATGAGTTAAACGCACACTAAAGTTAATCACTACTTGCTCAAGGATGGATTTCATTCTGTTTATCTGATTGCATTTAGTGATAGTCCCAGCAGAGTTGGTTCTATTTACTTTTAAGTAAAGAATGTTTTAAAAAACAACAATGAATGAAATAGTTTACAGGTATAATTGGTTCTCGGTTTGGTTAGGAAAATTAATTTCTTGTCAATATTTAAAGCCATATTTAAGATTTGACACTACTTGAACCACAAACTCACCTGATGACTGACCAGCTGCTCCACTGTGATCGTTTCCTTTCCATTCTGTCCAAACTCAGGCCAGTACTGGACAACCTGACTTTTGTAATCTATCAGTTTCCTGAATTTTAGTAAAGAACCCATATGAAATTTTAAAAGAATGCATAAAATGCACTTTATATTTTGAACCCCCCCAAAAAAATGTGCACTCAGTGACTCCAACAAAACATAACTGATCCATTTAATAAGGACCCTGAAACAATCAAAATACCATTTTCATCAAAGTCAAGAAGTTTTCATTTATGACAGATCCAGATATATGATTTACCTGTTGACTGTTTCTTCTGTTCACTCCGACAGACTTGGTCACAACTGAATTACCTGGTCAGGTAAAAATGAACTGTTACTTACCTCAGTCTTGATGATGACTTGTTTGTCCCTATCACCCTGCCCCCCAGGGTGCGGGTTTGAGAATGTCAGTTTGTGTGCTCCTTCATCTCTGTTCATGGTGCAATTCTTTCTTCTTATTCAGATGGATTCCAAAGCTTTGCGTTTGCTGTAATTACTTTCACTGGTTAGCACTTTTACATGGTCCCATTTTGGCACATGGTTGTTCTCTGACATATAATCTGTGATGGCAGATTTGTGTAAAACTCCTGTCAACATAGAGCGTTTGGATCTGGATCTATCATAAATGAAAACTTCTTGACTATCAAAACTGAGATCCAATGAAACTATTTCTCCATTATCATCATGATTAGAAAATTAATTGGTACTAGGATTACATGTATAATTACCTATCTGCCAGAATTGCCAAACACAAAGATGTCATGGCTTTTGTTGTAGAGAAGAAGCATGACATGGTGTTTTCTTTCCATGGTTGTTTTGTCTGCTTGTCAGAACTACCGGCCCAAAGGTGCACTGCAAGCTTCCCATTGTGGTAAACAGCAAAAGATGCACCAATATCTTTGCCACTTTCAAAGTTTTTTCTGGAAAAATAATAACAAGGAGAAAACTGAAAAATGGACGACAAATCTGAAAACTGGAATTGCATGTTTTATACTTCATATGAAATACTAACATTCATATAAATTATAATTTATATGCAATACTTACATTGTGGGCATCCCAGGCTGCATTTTCTTGAGTCTTATATTTTACATGCCAATATGACTGTGCATACAATACAATTTTAATAAAAAATATATCAAAATTAAGTAGCAGCATTTCAAATAAGCAGATTGCTCACCTGAATGCTTTTTCCACGAACTCAAACCCAGGTGCAACATAACCACTTATCTCAGTGGGAACTGGAATAATACCAGTAGATGTCACTTAGTATACTTATTGGGATTACTAATACATGCTTATTTCAATTAACCAATACGTACTGGTCACTTTTTAAGCATATGACAATACATGCAACACAGTTTTGACTTCTAAATATGAATATATTCTCTAGCAAAAGGTTACTAATCCTACATTTTTAATTTATAATGTCATTGGCACTTCTATTCAATATTTTTCAATTCTGACTAAATTTTGACCGCATTTTCCCCCAAAGTGGTTTCAATTTAGCAATCACTGCCTTTTCGTTAGTGTTCAAGGTGGAAATTGTGATACTGCCTTCAAAAAGGAGATGTGACCAATGAGCTTTGAATATTTCTGAATATTTTCACTCTCCAAAACTGCTCCAAAAATATTTGAAACCTAACTTACTAGTGGTCTAAACTTCAGTAAACTCTGTTTAAAATTAAAGCTTGTAAAGATACCGTAACTGCACTCAAATAAAAACATGCAAATATATACTTGCAGTTCTCCGAAAGGCTAGTCTTGAAAGAAATTGTCGAAAACTAGACATTATGAGGATGCACTCAGTTCCTAGTGGTAGCTGGCATGCATTGTTCCATCACGAACGATACAAACTACCACGGCTGATGTTCGCTCTTTGCAAACCAAATGGTATCATCAATCGTACCGTGGATTTTGGACCCATGGACTTTTTTAAATTATCGCTGACATAGAAAACTCTAGAAAAAACATAATAGTTGTGCTAAATTCAAATTTGTGTTGTGATGTCTGTTCTTTTCCGTACAAAACATTTAATTATGATAACTTAAAAGTAACATAATACGCAGATATAAAATATAAGCACGTGTTTTGTGCTTGTGCATTGGGCTTATGATAACAACGATACAGATACAACCTTGACCTACAGCCTCAATTTCGGCTTTCAACCAATGTGTGCATGTGAGAGAAGAAGGGAAGATTGATCAATTTTTTTCTTGATTTTAACTTCAGAATCGACACAATAATGTGGTTTGACGGAGCTAGTGAGGTTGTAGACATGTTCAAAAACAGTTTCCCTTTATCATTTCTCTTTTTTGTACCGATATTTATCATAATGTCCCCAGTTAGTCCAGTGAGTGCAGCACATGAATTTGCGGTTTATAGAATGCAGCAGTATGACCTCCATGGGTCATCATACGGTATGTGTGATTATTTTGGGGTTTGGAATGAGATAATTCTATAGTTATTACGATATTTTCAAGTTTTCTATACTACTGTATGTGCTTAAAAGGTAGAAAATTAATAAAAGGCCGTTGCAACCTTCTGCATTGTTGTCTTCGTGTAAACTAAATTGATATTTGAACAGCAGTGCCCTTAATTTATACTGTGATACAAACATATTATATCCCCTGGATAGAGGAGAGTAAGCTTGTCAGACTGGTGATCTTTCTGTTGCTTATTTACACTTTTTGCTTTTCTTTTGTCTATTTTTTGTATCAGCAATGAGTAAAGCATAAATTTTATTATTAATGTTGATTCTTTCTGTAGACTTTGTTCTAATATATATTTTGAAGTATGCACAAAATTTGGCAGCCCAATCATCCAGAAAATTTTGCTGTACAGAAGATTTTAAGACTCAAAATATCATTACTTCAGAACCAAATAGTCTGTCAGATTGGTATAAGCTTTGGTCATCAACCACTTCAG